AATTTATTTCTTCTTTCTGAAATTCTGACTAAGAATTTCATGTTTAGTTTTCACAAATAACTGTTGCAAGTATAACATTAAATTACAACACATTAGTCATATATGTATTTCTAAATTTTACATTACAATTAAACTATAAATACGACAAATATGAAAAGTATGATAGTATAATTTATTTAGAATTTAAATACATTACTTTTTTATTATAAAATTATCTTATAATGATAATTAATAGTTCATTGACAAATAATTGTAATCACTAATACGATTTAGATTGGAACTGAAGGTAATTGGTGTTCACTTAGCTTTCTTGCAAAGAAGTTTGTATTTCCTTGTTGAGAAGTAAGTTCCATGAGTGGGAAGCCTTTAATTTATATATTTAATTAAATTTGATTTTTAATATTTCAATAATTAGTAAATTTACCTACTGTAGGACATCCCAAATCTTTTAACAGGTTGAGGTGGCTTTTGATCCAATTGTTTAGAATAAAACACAGGTTTTTATGTGTGTTAACTCTAAAAACATTAAAATAATAAAATATCTGTTACAATGTATTAGTAGGTGTTATAGGAAAGTAAATATTTAAATGTTTGAACAGAGAAGTTTTAATTAAGATTTAATTTTAATATTAAGAGGATGACACTCCCGTATGTGGTGTCTCAGTCTTATAAATGAACAACATACCAAAAAACTGTTTTACAGGGGACAACTTTTATCTTTCTGTGTGGGTAGTAGTGGCTTCAAAATTTCTGAGCATATAGGGTGGGAAATTATCTATGCAACAGTGTGAAATCAAAGTTATTTGCTTCTAAACATTTGGTTTTTTTTTAATTTTCTTATATAACGTGATTGGATAGTGTTATTAACAATGCTTTATAGTTGCACACTTGCACAGATATAGTTCTTCTTGTGTTGTGTTGTGAAAATTTGGTAGTTTTACAACAAATATGGTGCAAGATAAGTTATCCCGAGCAAAACAGTTTTTGCTATGTTGTACATTTGTGAGACGGAGACAACACATGCGGGTGTGACATCCTCTTGACAATGAAATAAAAGTATTGTGTTCAAATAGCATGGCATCGGAACATTTGATGAAAAAATCATGTATCTAAAGTTATTATTTTAGTTATACCAAAAAAACAAAATACATTTTTGTCAAAAATTGGGGTTGCGTAAATATATAACCATTTTTCCTTATTTATTTTTTTGTTTTTCCCGATGTATTTGAAAACCCTTGGTAATTTTCAATTTTTACCTGGCATCTAACTAAATTCACTTTTCCTTCAGAATAGATCCTAATGTCCAAACTCGTTGTGTGTTTCCTTGCAATTTAAATATGTTGAGGCCTTCAGTATTAATGAAATTGTATTCTTGCCCAGTAAAATTGTATTGCCTAAAAAATTAAAACTTTGTTAAAAATATGTCAGTGCAAAATTTGTTTTCACTTTTTGAACTACGAGCAACATGCAAATGTGAGTAACTACAGTAGATCTAATTTTGTACTGTAGGCTTTAATATCAGAGTAATATGATATGATATAATATTATAATAATCAAAGTTAAAAGCAAAAATATTTAAGGAAGCACTTTTTATATTTGTATTTCATTTTTAAAACAAGTCATGGATATTTTAAGATTTAAACATCTATAATTATTTATTTATTCATTTATAATGACTAAACAGGCAAAGCCTTTTGATACACATATAATCCACACACACAATCAGATATACAATGTGTCCCGTGAACAGGTGGGTATGTTAGTTAATGGTACAATAAAATTGCTTATATGGTACACCATATATTTCAGTTTTGAAAACCATAATAAGTATAATCCACTGTATCAACTTATAACTATAAACCACTAATTAACTTTTGGTTTTGGCAAACATTTAAGGGAACGCTATACCCGCTTTCATTGTCTCCGTCTTACAAATTCACAACATAGCAAAAACTGTTTTGCATGGGAAAGAACCGAGAAGGCTAAAAAACTAAAGGCTAAACTAAGAAACGAGAATTTCACCACATAAAAAGGAGAACTATGGCTGTGCAGCATTGTTTTTATTTTTTTGTCATCATTAATATAAAAAAGTTTTCCAAGTTTAAAAAACACAAACTAAAATGGTTTTTGAAACAGTTTAAATTTTTTTTATAAAAGCGATATCAAAAAAATAAAAACAACGTAGCACAACCAATGTTCTCCTTTTTATGTGGTGAAATTATAGTTTCTTAGTTATGATTGTAGCCTTCTCAGTTCTCGGTTCTTTTCTGCGCAAAACAGTTTTTGGTATGTTGTATATTGTAAGACGGTGACAACACATGCAGTTATAGCATCCTCGGAAACTCGAGTAATATACTTACAAAAGTGTGAGTGAATTAGACATTGTTAATTTTCTAAGGCTTTTCTGGGTGAATTAAAATCATAAACTGTAACGCCTCCAAATCCTTTGTTTGTCTGTCATTTTCTTGTAATTCATTGGAGAAATATAATTTTCTGAGAATGTCAAGTTGTAAAAAATATCTAAATAGCTAATTCATGAATTGTATTAAATAATTTTACCTCTTAAATGATTTACTAGTCGCGCTCAGAGTAGTACCAGAGTTGCTGTAAATTATTAAAATTTATTTTTTAATGTTTACATTATTTCTCTATCCCAGACAAGTGGTTTGGATTATTTTTGAGACAGCCTCTGGCCATACTATCTACTTTAGCCATTATTTCCTTCTATTTTCATTTTTTGAAATCTAAATGTGTGAACAAATTTATAAGAAATATAATCAGTACAACTGGATAATAATACTTACACATGCAAATTAAAGTAATGTGCCGAGGAGATACTTTGTATGTTTTACTAAAAAGAATACACTTATGCATGGTAATTTTTTACTAAAACGTATGGATACAACTCTGCACGAATGTAGTTTGTATTTCTGTTCAAATTTCAATTAATCGAATGATTCTAAAATCAAAAGTCGGCCAACAATGAAATAAAAATATTATGTTGTTATTTATTTGATAACAATTATTACTATCTTAGTGATAAGTCAGAACTGTTATCTATTGGAGGTATTTCTGGCCGATGTGGCGGGCATTTAAATTTTACTGAGGTCTGAAACATTGTAAATGCTGCCTCCAGATGTTTGAATTAAAAGTGCGAGTATAAAATGGAAACGATTCGAAATAATAATAAAAAACCTCAAATTCTATACGGTGAATATTTGTACAACATTCAAAAAGAATGCAAAACTATGATTCGTTGGAGATGTACTAAATCAAGTTCAATGAAGTGTCCCAGGTCCCAGTATTTTAAAAACCGATTTAAATATTGATAGTCCAACTTTACTAACCAATATCTATTGAACACGACCACGCACACGAGTCAAATGAAAATATGCTTTCTGCAGTAAAAATTATAAAAAATATGAAGGCAAAAGCCCCAATAATTAACGACCCACCTAGTCAAAATTTTTCAAGTGCAATATTATTTGTTCCGGAGAGTGTATTAGCCGAATTTCCGATGGAAGATTATTTTAAAAGAAATATTCGAAATCATAGAGGGTACAAAATTACACCAAAACCGAGATGTCTGTCAGAAATAATTGTTGAAGGTAAATATAAAGTTTTTATTACTATAATTATTTCGCTTAATTTTTAAGCAAGATATATGAGTATTTTTGAATTTCAATATCTTACATGCCCACATCTCGTAGGAACTGCTTCGTATATTTACCTACCTCCCATATTTCCACTGCCTATGTGGAAAGTATATGAGTGAACATTAAAAAGTGGGCATCGCACCAACAATAATACAGTGGTTTGGAATAACCGCTATTCAAAGCTCTGTGTACATAAGCATCCAACAACTTGGAATTTAATAAAAAAAAATGGAAATCGAAGTTGCTGCAGACCAAGCAAAATTGGCGTTGAGTAATGTAGGAGACAGAGTACAGAGTACAAAACTAGGTACAAAACAATCAACTGAAAACCTATTATTTACCTTTAAACATTTTTTTAACTATGTACAAATGACAATTATTGACAATGTAAAATGCAGATTGCAGCTATACTTGTATACCTACTTTATAACAATTAATAAGTAGGTAATACCTAATATATAATATGTTACTGAACTATTTATTATATATATTTAATATTTATATATTATATTATATAATTTTTTAACTGTGATATAATAAGTTATTGTTTAATGTCATATAATAGATGTAATTCTATTTATAGTTACCTTTTAATAAAATAAATGTATTGTCTAGTATAATAAATATTAAATTAGATACATACCTAATAATACAATAATTAATGAAAAACAATTGTTAACATTATGTCATTAATGTCCCTAAACAGTTCAAAATAAATCAAAATATTTTAAAAATGTTATCGTGTATAGAAAATGCAAATATAAACTACCAGTGAAAATTTCATGTACTTACGGTTATTTTTTTTAAAGTTACAAAAAAAACCAAATTCGATTTTGCGTAAAAATTCCCGTTTTTCGTTGATTTTTCTTTTGTTTTTCTTGGCGCTTTTGAAAATTACTTAGAATTTTAAGCAAAAGTGCTAGAAGGAAGGACGCTGACGTCATGCCAATGAGAAATATACATTTTATTTTTAGAAATTTGACTTTATACTTTACATGTCTAAGACAAATGATAATGCAAGATTAACTTGAACGCGGTGTTTTCGATATAACTAATATTTTTATACTGAAAAAATAAAAACAATATACATAATTGAATGAATGTTTTTTTATTATTCAACAATACTACTAATATTGTTTACTACAATAGTTCTAATAATTCTATTATAGTTTATTAAATTATAAATCTATTATTTCACCATTTCACGGTTACATCGCAATTCGATGACTATATTTTTATTATGTACTGGATACATTTCTAAATCAACGTAATTACACTTGAAAAAGCTATCATTTATAAATGAACTATGTAAACCATAACATAAAATTTCGCAAGCGTTGCCCCTCAATCGTGCCATGTTTGTTCGCGCCTCCACAAATATTTTTTCATTTTGAACCCCATCACATGTGATTTTTTTTTCCGCACCGACAGTATTTGCTGTACTAGTTGAATACAATACAGTAAAACCATTCTTATTAGTAACTTCAAATGATCGTTTACCATTACCATCAGTTTCAGTCGATACGCCAAATTGTATGCCCATGCCCGAAAAACCATCATTCACACTGTCAGCTATAGTCTTTGCAACAGCTTCACTATATTCCAATGTGGACCATTGCGTTGAAGATGTTTTATTGCCATATTCAATCTGTGTACTTTTTTCAATCTTTATAGTAAATTCTGCACGACAAGTACCACTTTTACAATACCTAAATTTTCCGACGGATTTCCAATTATTGTCGATTGTAAAATTATGTTTTACAAAATACGGCAAATTATTATTTTTTAAAGGGAAATGTACAGTGTCAATACATTTCTCACTAAATCTATCGCAAAATTTTCCATAAGGTGGCAGGTACTTAGCGTCATAGTCGTCACAATTTGAAACTTCTGTCGATTTTGATACACATTTTACAATTAAATGTAAAATCACAATGTTAAATAAAATATTAGAAAGCTTAAACGTATTCATACTGAATGTATTAAATTTATTAAGTCAATACATTAATACAATAACGATGAGTGATACAAACATGAAACAACGCACGTAAGTGTATTGGTGTGACTGATGATTCACATGACAATTATTCACATAATATTCGGTTAACCTATAACCTAAACTTGTGATTAATAATTTTTTCTAATGATCATTGTAAATTGCAATACTCAGAAATGTTATCGACTTAATTAGTGACGATGCGCGTTTGAATATAAAATATGTAATGATTAATATGAACGTATGCGTTTGGCAAATAACTTATTAGGTATATTGAGGTGCAGCCAATAAAGCAATCACTCGGATTAATTTACTGATCTATTAATCTTAGCTTGAAACTTATGAATTATTTGAAACCGGTCAAGTTCAACCAGTGCCGGCGCTAGGGGAGGACAAATGGGACATTTGTCCAGGGCCCCGCGCTTGTTAAAGGGCCCCGTGATTTTTAATTATCATCTTGATACGAATACCGTGGTCTACCGTCGTATATTGCATTATTCTGGCTGCAGCGGTCGCGTACTTAGATATTAAACAATTTATTATTTTATTCAAACATTTTGATGAATTAATTTATTTTTAATTGATGATTTTATGTAGTTGTTAAAATAAATGTAAATTAATAAAATAACCAGCCCTTATGAATTTATTAGCCTATGATTTTCCACTCAAAGGTTTAACTGAAACTCACGCTACGCCAATAATTCTGTGCTGAGCGAGGTTTCATCAGGAGGAATCGCACTCGAATGTGTTGTCTCCGTTTACTCAAGTAGGTAAGGTAAAGTGGGGTAAGTGTGACGCAAAAATGAAAAGTTAATTTTGAATTTGACAATACTTTTTTTGTTTTTAACTTAAAGTTGTTATTGTTCCATAATGTAACACCTCTAGATATACATAATTGGAATTTATAGTCAACAAAGTTATATTATCACTCACCTAAGAATAATTTTTTTTTTTTTTAATTTTAAAACGTCACACTTGCCCCTTTTCATGGGGCAAGTGCAAAATCGGATTGTTTTTGCTATTAGTATTACATAAAATTATATATGGGGCAAGTGAATAACAAAGATAAAAATAAGCTTTAATTTGATTTTTGTTTCATTAAAATATCTTGATTCATTAAGAATTGACAGAGCATTATTTAAATTTAATTATTTACCTGTATTATATATAAAAACAGTACTTTTTTTAAAATCCTGATTTAAAAAAAAGCTAAAATTTCACTACTCTCTGAGAACCTAAAGGCTATTACCTATGACCAGGGCCCCGCAATACCTAGCGCCGGCACTGAGTTCAACTAAAAAAGCAATTTAAAGCTATCAAATATACAACCATGGTGGGCTTTATTTCCCTGTAAGGTGAATGGCAGGGCCGTCATTTCAACTTTTTGTACTGGTCCACATATATTTTTTTTTTTTTGGGGGGGGGAGGGGTGGTTAAGTGGGGACAAAACTGTAGAATATTCGTATAATTTATTAAATTTATTATTTATTTATTTAAAACACTTAGGTATATCGGCGTTTATATTTATTAGACTTACTAGACGGAATGGTGAATGTATGAGTGTGTACATAATATTATGTTATTTTTTGTGGTGATTTCGACTGTTTGGAGTTCTCAGCTATTCGACAGGGACTCGTTTGCCAATTCCACCTAGTATCTTAGTCGATTTTATTACAGTAAATTGACAATTGACCATACAACACGAGCAATTGTGTTCCAAACTAGATTCATTTTGCGATCCTCAAAGTTATCGAACAAATTGTGTGTAAACTAAGCAATTGTACATCAGACCAATGACAGTTGAAAATTGCCTGGCGATATTTAAAGTTCAAATTTTGACAAAATACGTAAAAATTATGAAAATGTGAAAATAATTATGTATGAGTTAGAAATTCATAAAAAATTTAATTTTTAAATCTAAGATTTGAACATTTAATACAATATGCATTATAAGTATGTTTACCTAACCTACAACATTCCTCCTAAAGGGTTGTTGGTGGGAATTAAAAAAAAGTCTACCATAAATCCACAATAGTTTTTTATGAGCGTCTGAAGTTATAATTTTGACAAATTTCGTAAAAAAATCAAGAAACTTTTTGAGTTAAACATTTATATTTTTATCCTAAAATTGAATATTATATATTATTATTTATTATATTATAATAATTATTATGATTCCCTTTTCCAGTTGTTCTACCCTTGACCCAAATAAAACATTTCAAAGCTGAAATTACGTCATGCAATACTAGGAATCGTGTTTTTAATTTTTTATTAATTAAATTAAATTAATTTTATTATTATTTCACAATAAACATAGGTATTCAAAATTAAAATGCCACAGCTGGAATAATTGTAAAAAAGCAATAAAATGTTTATTTATTTAGAGTCAGAATGACATAAAACAAATGTACCTTTGCATAAAAATTAGATTTATGAAAACAATGCGTGTACCCAGGTATGTTTCATTTTTCAATATCACAATTCTAATTAATTCAAATATATCTTTAAAAAAAAACTAAAATTATACAAGTAAAATCGTAAAATGAGTAGGTAATTAAAATGAGTTAATTGTCAAAATATATAGCCCAAAAGTTTCAGTTTAAATTGTTATGGTCAATGGTCACGGAACAAATTCTGTGCTCACTTAGAATATTGTAACGTGCTGGTACGTTTGGTGCCTACTACTGTAATATAATAACAGACAAGTGGCTACCAGCACGTTAACGTTGCAGGTTGCAGACACTTCTTCAGATGATGTAGTCGTGGTTGATGATTAAATAATATAAACAGTTGTTGTATAATTGTAAATTTTATTATTACACTTCAATAATTTTACCAAGTCCAAATATTGTCATACAGAGTGGCGTGAAGGTGCTTGCACTAATGTCTAATGGGTGGTAGTACACGTCTGAATACAGGCCGATTCGGGCTCCCTTATATAGTTATATATGAGGTTCCCGGTACCCCTTGCCTATAGATACTGTATCTCGGGTCTCACGGATGTAATTTGTGTGGTCATCGTTCCAGCCCACGCATTAACGATTTCCCAATATATTCTGCCTATTACTAATTATTAGTTACTTATTATGGTCTATTTCATTAAAATAATAATATTACTCTTTTAGTATCGTTGTGTTTAGTGCTTCTGTAAAATATATTACATTCGCCTATTTTTGAACCCTTCCGCCCGAGTCATTATAGTATTCAGTGAGCTTGTCTCCTTATGTTAAACGCAGGAGGAAATCCTATTTCCGTTTGTAATATCCGATTTATGCCGATCTACAGTATATTATACTAATTCTGCACCTGTGGAATTGGTTTTATTGTTACGTAGTAACTTGCTTACTACATCTCCGATCTCCCCCTTTAAAAGTTGATTTTTATCGTCTAAAACGAGAAAAATTAACTCAATTATCCTTCCATTAGTTCAAGCACTTTCCTATGGTTACAAGTTTTACATACATCAATTATTACATTACATTCAATTATTACATGTTAACATAATATGTTTGTTACAAATATTTAGTTACATTATTGTAATTATATGGTACATTCCACCATATTTTTCTGGTTACATTTATTAAATATTATTGACAAAATACAGATTACAATCCACAATATTACAATATATATATGCTTATTATATATAGCTTAGTATCTTATGTGATTAACAATATATTTTTTTTTGTTTTACAACAATAAGCTTATCTTAGTGTTAATATAATATGAATTAATTCTTTAATATATTATGAATTCTTAAAATCTATTACAATATATTTTTTTCATTACCATATTGTTAATTATATTTAAAATAAGCTAGATTAATATATTTCTTTTTCCATCACCATGTTAATTATGTCCAATATATGCTAATATGTTCCTTTATGTATTTGTATATTATTTTATAAAAAATTTAATCCTAAATTTTCCTTTTTTTCATTTTTTTTTCTACGTTTATATTTTTTAACTTTTATTGAACTGTCCGCAGAACTAGTTTCAATATCTGAACTATCGGATTCTGTCTTATATATATCTAAACATTAGGTACATATAATGTATATAAACTATATAGTATATTTATTAATTTAGGTACTTATTCAATTAATATTCTGTCCGCGTATGTAATTACCAATAGTATTTATCCTACATGTATCTACTATTATTAATTATAAACGATTAATACGTAACTACCATCACCAAAATTAACTATACATATTTATTATTACTTATAAAATAAACAACATGCAACATAATTATTCATAAAATAAATTGCGTAAACGCGCGTTGTACGTCGAAAATGGATGAGTAGGTACCTACCTAATAACACGTAAAACGTTCAATCGCCTATGCTACGCGTGTTAAATGTCGATACGATTTATCTCCTCACCCGTTCCGCTCACCTTGTTCCGCGATGTTTCATGCGTACGTGCTTGTACTACGCTCGAATATTATAAAAAACTATCTCCGGTTAATTACTCCGTAAATCCCTCTAATAATATTCGACTTCCTATCCCTTATTTTTCTTTTTACTAATATATTTCTCTAAATGATTTACTTTTCTAATTTACGCGCTTTAACCATTTAATTTTTAAACACAAAATATTAACCTTTCACTAATCATTACTAATAATTCTATCAATTTATTCGTAGTAATATTATACTAAATCTTATCCTAGGGCCCCTATAATTAATTGTTTTTTCCCAAAACAATTCGAAATTTGTTGCAACTACTTTTATTCAATAAGGTCATCTACTACCTTTTAATTCAAAATCTATTTTCTTCAATATATCAATTAATTTCTTTCAACAATTATCTATCATTCTATATTTCAATTCATAAATTCAATATTTCACTTTAATCAATTATTCCCATATATAATTCAAAATGCTACGGCCGTGCATCAATTTCCTGGATCAGTCTACAGCTGTCTAATACAAAATACGTATATAGTTCTTATCAAGCTTGTTTACTATTT